ACGAGGCGTTTTTTGTGGCTACTCCATTGTTCTCCATTGTTATTTTAAGCCACATAAAGAAATATAGCCACATTAAAGCTTACGTTTTTGGTGATATCAAAGAAAAATTACAGGTACATGTTTGATGTTACTATTGTTCACCCAATCATATAAGTATCCAAATGTTACATGTAGCTCGGAAGACAGAATGACATAAAGACGGACATACAAACAGTCTGACGGACTACACTAAATCTTCGACGGGGGATACTAAGCATAAACATGTTTTATTTTAAGTTCTATAAAATGTGCTATTTCAAAGCAATTTAAAAAAGCAGGTAAAGGATACTGTCTGGTGCCTCAATATATAGTGCACTGCAACATCACACTTTCGAGTCAAATGCATTTTGTGATCATAATTTAAGAACTTGAGCAAAAAATGCATTAATATGCTATATATCAACGCCTAATAAGTTCAAGAGTATTGAAGGTTTCAACTTAGTTAAAGTTAAATACTGAGTGATACTGAAAAATACACCTGGAAATAAGTAAAGCACAGCCCCGGAAATTCCAAAATTGGTTGTGATTGAAAGCATTGTCATGAGATGACGACTTAATGGAGCCAAGAAATGGTAATTTTATAAGTAGCGATACAAATGTAGTAATCATTAAATGGTTAAAACAGCCCGAAATAATGCATGGAATAATGCAAAAAAGCTACTAAAGTCGTCATATGATAATTACAATGTTGGTGTGATATTTATCAAAACGAAAATTTAAAATATAAAAATGATGTAGGAGGTATTAGGAAGAGATATTTTCAGTCAAAGAAGCTAACAAGATAATATTTTTAAAAGCGGTGTTAAAGATTCGTGTTAGACTTGCAGGATTTTTTAAGGGATTGGATATTTGTTCATTTTGAAAGTAACAGCAGTTTGTTATTTGAAATACAATATAGTTGCTTGTATATCAGAATAAAAGTTTAATTTCATCATTATAAACTTTCATAAAATAAAAACAAAATCCAACCGAGCAACAAGCCGTCATTCCTTCTTTCAAATTAAAAATGAAAAACACATAATGCCTACTGAATGTTAAAAAAGCAAAATTCTAATTGCTGAAAGTTCGGTTCGATCGTAGCAGCTCAGTGAACGATAGTGAATCATCCGACCGATGCGCGGGTTTGACTGAGCCTGTTCATGGACGGTTGTGGTATTTGCAAGCTAACGTCCACGCCCAATAGCACTAGCTTTAGTAGTTTTCACGATTTTAAAATATAAAATGGTGCCATTTTGAATTTAGAAACACCTGTGGATGTGTTATACGGTGATTCTCATGGGACTTTCAATGCGACACGTTAAAGCAATTCTATGGAACGCGGTGTTTTCCCCAAGTAAATAAAAGCATGTGTCCTGAACGAGAAAACAATCGGCGAAACTAAACAAAAAACGAATTCTAAAGTATGAAGCCTACCTTATACACCTAAAACATCAAAAGACAAATATAAACACAGGCAAGATGGGGAGGGGGTCAACAGTATTCAAGTAGGAATTGTGGAACCACCGACCCAGATAGAAGATAAAAATAGAAGAAGCTTAAAATAACACACACACACACACGCACGTACGCACGCACACACGCACACACGCACGCACGCACGCACCCACACACACACACAACTATAATGTCGAGTAAAAAAATCATTTGATAAAAAAAATCAATTGAATAAGGTAAAGCAAAGTGTATCCAAATAAGCAAAATAGCCAGATTATTTCAAAGTTTACACTGAAAACAACGACAACAACAAAACTATTTCATGTAAAATATGATATACCACAAATCCAATCATATTCTCTCTACATACAATACACTAATGTGACAAATCATGACATCACGTGACAAGACAACATTACAGTTCAATGAACAAAACAACCGGCATCATAAACAAGATAATACCAGAATTTTATAATGATGAATCAATATCAAGTAATATGACCTATATACAACGAATTTGCAAGTATAATGAGTCCTTAAATGGACACAAAAGTAGTAGATGTGGGATTTTTATGTCTTCTTAACAACCATGTGCCAAATTTATTAATGGTGAAGGAATAAGGCATGTGTTTGGTTGTTGGTATTTAATCGTATTTAACCGTACCATTCATGAACTGATATATTATTTTGTAATATTTATGTTTTTGTTAAAATATAGTATGGCCAAAGTTTTAAAAATGTACGAAACGTTTTCTACTTTTATAATGAATACCTTCGGTGAAATGGTTTGGGTATTTATAATGATTATTAAAATGTGAGCGTTATTTCTTCTATACACAATAACGACGTTCATTAACAGCTATTTATTTATGCAGCGGAAGAAGTCGATATTATTCCATTAATCAAGTCGGTGATCTCCACTTCAATATCTTCTACGAATGAATGGAATTTACCGGCGGCTTCTTGGGAAAGCAGAAACGTCATTGACAACAAAGCAATTGGAAGCCCTGACACATGTAGATGTTGCGCGGGCACATCAGGTACAGATGTTCCTTGGATTCAAATTGACCTAGGAATGACTTATACCATCACGAAGATCCAGATAACTGGACGTCCAGATAACAGTAAGTTGAGTTTTATAACATCTTTACCAAAATATAATCCCAAAGTGTGGGTGAGGGGAGAGAATTATGAAATGAATATTTATAAGGAAAATATATGCACAAAATATACTTTAATTGAAAAATTGATTGAATATTCTTCCCTAAAAAGATAGTATTTTTATAACTTGAATACACTTACGCACCACTGTTAAACTTATCTTAACACTTCCTTAACGCAATACTATCATTATGTTTATTTATTAGAATATAGCGGCTGTGGAATGGAAGTAGCAATTGGCATAAACAAACTCTATAAAATGCTTAAAAGAGTTAGGGGTTGATTCCCTTTTGTAATTCAAATAATAATATTTCTTTAATGATTAACATCATTATGGGTTATATATGACTACCTAAAATTTACAAAAAGTCACAGATCTCGAATCTTACGATGCTTTGTGATAATGGTTACAGAATTTATAATTTAACTGTAAATGTATACCCTACCCCCACCTCCCAAAAAAATAAATAAAAGAAATAAAAAACAAATGAATGAATTTTTTATGGGAATATGTTTAATCTTGCAGCTCAATATGAGACAAAAGAAGTTTTACAGTCTGCGTATAACAAATAAAACGCCTAAAGACAAGTGTTGAGGGCTTATCTGCACAAAAAGTATTTCATATCATATTCCTTTATTCCATGTTTAAAACTATATATGAGCCGCGTCACGACAAAACCAACATAATGGGTTTGCGACCAGCATGGATCCAGACCAGCCTGCGCATCCGCGCAGTCTGATCAGGATCTATGCTGTTCGCTTACCAACCAAATTACAAGTAGAGAAACTGATAGCGAACAGCATGGATCCTGATCAGACTGCGCGGATGCGCAGGCTGGTCTGGATCCATGCTGGTCGCAAACCCACTATGTTGGTTTTTGCCGTGACACGGCTCATATATCTGACATTTGCAAAGAATTTGTTAATTCAAATGTGAAATAAACATAATTTTATGTGTTTTATTTTCTAACCTTGCAGCTGAACCTAAAACAATTTAAGACATATACGTTTTTGGTTAGCAACACTTCAGTGGATATATCTTCTAATGGAAGTTTAAATATACAAAGGGAATCCCACAAGTTCTAACAGGTTTGAACTACGTCAACATCTACCTTCATCGTTTCGTTATTTGATAATCAGACGCTTTACTACAGGACTTCTTACAATATGTGAAGTAGAACTGTTTACAGTAGGTAAGAATGATGTTATCAAAATGTATCTCACTGTTTCGTTGGGAAAGCGGTTATATACGAAACGCCATACCAATTCAAAGATTGAAATTTTCAAATCTTAGTTTATCTTGCAATATATCGACATATACCTCCGTAATTTAGTTGGGAGCAATAATTGATTTTCGCCGCTTCTCAGCCCTTTCCATTAATTTTCGGACAAAGGCCTGGACTATAATGGTATTAGTACAGGATGGATAGATATTTCAGCATATTGGTCTAACCTATATTACAAATTGTAACAAATAAATAGTAAATTTTGACATTGTTTGAGTTTAAACTATAACTGCAAATGTATTAAAGGGGAACCATAACATTTCTTTTGTCTGATTAGTCATTAATCCATGTTTCAGTCGAATTGTATTAACGCGAAATTATAGAAATAAATGTAAAAATATATTATTAACTTGCTAACTATTATCTTCAAATTGAAAAAATATCCGAAGCCTGTTAAAAATGTTTCGAATGTGTAAAGCTTGCATGTGAATGGTTATTCTAAAATGTATTATGATCGTCAGAATGCTACCGAATACTGAAAACAACGACAACAACAAAAAACTATTTCATGTAAAATATGATATACCATGCATCCAATTATATTCTCTCTACATACAAGACACTTATGTGACAATTCCTGACATCACGTGACAAGACTACTTATACAGTTTAATGAACAAAACAACCGGCATCATAAACAAGATAATACCAGAATTTTATAATGATGAATCAATATCAAGTAATATGACCTATATACAACGGATTTGCAAGTATAATGAGTCCTTAAATGGACACAAAAGTAGTAGATGTGGGATTTTTATGTCTTCTTAACAACCATGTGCCAAATTTATTAATGGTGAAGGAATAAGGCATGTGTTTGGTTGTTGGTATTTAATCGTATTTAACCGTACCATTCATGAACTGATATATTATTTTGTAATATTTATGTTTTTGTTAAAAAATTAAGTATGGCCAAAGTTTTAAAAATGTACGAAACGTTTTTCTATTTTATAATGAATACTTCGGTGAAAAGGGTTTTGGGTTATTTATAATGATTATTAAAATGTGAGCGTTATTTCTTCTATACATAATAACGACGTTCATTAACAGCTATTTATTTATGCAGCGGAAGAAGTCGATATTATTCCATTAATCAAGTCGAAGATCTCCACTTCAATATCTTCTACGAATGAATGGAATTTACCGGCGGCTTCTTGGGAAAGCAGAAACGTCATTGACAACAAAGCAATTGGAAGCCCTGACACATGTAGATGTTGCGCGGGCACATCAGGTACAGATGTTCCTTGGATTCAAATTGACCTAGGAATGACTTATACCATCACGAAGATCCAGATAACTGGACGTCCAGATAACAGTAAGTTGAGTTTTATAACATCTTTACCAAAATATAATCCCAAAGTGTGGGTGAGGGGAGAGAATTATGAAATGAATATTTATAAGGAAAATATATGCACAAAATATACTTTAATTGAAAAATTGATTGAATATTCTTCCCTAAAAAGATAGTATTTTCATAACTTGAATACACTTACGCACCACTGCTCGTTTTGTTAAACTTATCTTTACACTTCCTTAACGCAATACTATCATTATGTTTATTTATTAGAATATAGCGGCTGTGGAATGGAAGTAGCAATTGGCATAAACAAACTCTATTTAAATGCTTACAAGAGTTAGGGGTTGATTCCCTTTTGTAATTCAAATAATAATATTTCTTTTATGATTAACATCATTATGGGTTATATATGACTACCTAAAATATACAAAAAGTCACAGATCTCGAATCTTACGATGATTTGTGATAATCGTTACAGAATTTATAATTTAACTGTAAATGTATACCCTACCCCCCACCTCCCAAAAAAATAAATAAAAGAAATAAAAAACAAATGAATGATTTTTTTATGGGAATACGTTTAATCTTGCAGCTCAATATGAGACAAAAGAAGTTTTACAGTCTGCGTATAACAAATAAAACGCCAAAAGACAAGTGTTGAGGGCTTATCTGCACAAAAAGTATTTCATCTCATATTCCTTATTTAAAACTATATATGAGTCGCGTCACGACAAAACCAACATAATGGGTTTGCGACCAGCATGGATCCAGACCAGCCTGCGCATCCGCGCAGTCTGATCAGGATCTATGCTGTTCGCTTACCTACCAAATTACAAGTAGAGAAACTGATAGCGAACAGCATGGATCCTGATCAGACTGCGCGGATGCGCAGGCTGGTCTGGATCCATGCTGGTCGCAAACCCACTATGTTGGTTTTGCCGTGACACGGCTCATATATCTGACATTTGCAAAGAATTTGGTTAATTCAAATGTGAAATAAAACATAATTTTATGTGTTTTATTTTCTAACCTTGCAGCTGAACCTAAACAATTTCAAGACATATACGTTTTTGTTAGCAACACTTCAGTGGATATATCTTCTAATGGAAGTTTAATATACAAAGGGAATCCCACAAGTTCTAACAGGTTTGAACTACGTCAACATCTACCTTCATCGTTTCGTTATTTGATAATCAGACGCTTTACTACAGGACTTCTTACAATATGTGAAGTAGAACTGTTTACAGTAGGTAAGAATGATGTTATCAAAATGTATCTCACTGTTTCGTTGGAAAGCGGGTATATACGAAACGCCATACCAATTCAAAGATTGAAATTTTCAAATCTTAGTTTATCTTGCAATATATCGACATATACCTCCGTAATTTAGTTGGGAGCAATAATTGATTATCGCCGCTTCTCAGCCCTTTCCATTAATTTTCGGACAAAGGCCTGGACTATAATGGTATTAGTACAGGATAGATAGATATTTCAGCATATTGGTCTAACCTATATTACAAATTGTAACAAATAAAAAGTAAATTTTGACATTGTTTGAGTTTAAACTATAACTGCAAATGTATTAAAGGGGAACCATAACATTTCTTTTGTCTGATTAGTCATTAATCCATGTTTCAGTCGACTTGTATTAACGCGAAATTATAGAAATAAATGTAAAAATATATTATTAACTTGCTAACTATTATCTTCAAATTGAAAAACAACTCCCAAGCCTGTTGAAAATGTTTCGAATGTGTAAAGCTTGCATGTGAATGGTTATTCTAAAATGTATTATGATCGTCAGAATGTTACCGAAACATTTTAAACGGATGTTAAACGAATGTCAAAATATACATTGAAACTCGCACAAATATTACACTCATTGTCTTTGTTTATATCAAAGTGCATACCTTAACATATCTAAGTCTGTACAATTTGGCAAATATTAGATGTGAACTTTCAATTTGATTCAATTAAACAGATTTTGTACCTTTTTTTTTTTGTATATAATTAAGATGTAATGATACATTATGAAACAGGCTGGTTTAAAACACCATTAACAATAACAACAACGACAAAACACACTGTATTAGCCAATGTAAATAAATGATATTTCTATCACCTGTTATATCGTTTTTTTTTCCACTTTAAAGCAATTTGAAAACTAACAAAATTCAAATAACGATCATTATAATTGTAAAGTTTTGAAGTTCGGAAATAAAAGAACGCGTGTATGTCTTTCTAGTACCTAAATGCGACGTAGGACGTTTTGGAAAGGCTTGCTCTCATAAATGCCATTGTGCTGACAAAAACACCTGTAATGTTTGGACAGGAAAGTGCAAGACACCCGGATGTTTACTAGGGTGGACAGGCCAAGCATGCAATAAAGGTAAAGTGATATACATGTATATAATGAATAAATATTATTTAACATCTGATTCAGGAAACTGTAAAAACAAGGTAATTTCAATTTATGATTTATTTTACGATTTGATAATCTTATTGTACATTCTTTTTCATGAAGTTTCCTTTATGCATGTAATATAGAACAGAACAGAAAAGATCAAATATTTTATTTGACTTAAGCATTATAAGCCCATCGTCGTTAACAATGAAAAGGAAAACATATATATATTGGTATGACATGGAAGATTTTACATATAATTCATAAATTATTATTACCTTAACACATATATCGTGAGAATGTAACAAAGGAAGAATATATATTTATATATACTCAAAAGTTAAATGGAATAAAAAAAATTAAAAAAAATAACAAAAAAAAAAAGGAATTATTTCAGATTGAGAACGGCATTTATATTATTACAATAGTGAATCCCTTAATTTGAACGCTTTAAAACAATATAGAGCCACATTTTTTAAGATCTTCTTATTACTACATTGCATTAATGATATATACTTAATTATATTTGTGTGGGTATAATAATATCTGGGTATATATAATCTTCTTAAATCGACATAAGCTGTACATTTTAAAACAAAGTGAAATTCGTCCTCTAGGTCATTTAAATTACATAGTGTACATTTACGTTCATCGCGCGGAATATTGAAGTGTCGGCCGACTTCAATGTTAAGTTTATGTGAAGAGAGACATAATTTAGCCAGTGCGTTTCTAAATTTTGTATTTTCTAATAGTCTGATATAATTTTACTGCTCAAATGTATCTTTTATCTCCCGGAAATATTTAAGGAACTTGACATCTGCAACCCCGTTCTCCAATTACTTATGTATATATCTCTAAGCCTACAACGTAAGGCCGGAACAAATACATTTATTTTAACGGATTCTGGATATAACATGACTTCACTTAGACCAGAAGACTGAAGGATATCGCGTTAAAATGAGACCCAATTTTTAATTGATTCGTTTAGCTCTAGACTTTTGATTTGATCTTGTAAAACCGCCTTAAGTATGCAATTTTCAGACTTGACGGTATTACTCATCAGAAAATATTTAACCATTTTCACATGTCTTTCTATACAGAGTGGAAATCTACCTAACTCACTATAAAGAGCTAGAGTATGTGTAGATTGCTTAACATTTAGTATCCATTTACAAAATTTCTTATGTACTCTTTCTATTACCTCTGAATTTATACAACCCCATACCTCTGCACCATAATTTCAAACAGAAAGTACATACGAATCAAAGAGATTAAACAATATATTTATTGGAACTTTCAAACTACGAACAATAGCCCACAAAGAATGTAGAGATCGCAACCTTTTCCCGGCTAATGTATTTGCTGCTTGCATAAAAGACCCTCCACTGGAGAATACAACCCCTAGGTAATTAAAAGACTTGACTATTTCAATTTCATTATTATTATAATACCATTTGTCGTTTCTTCTTAACTTTCCCCCTTTCCTAAACACTACAACTTTAGTTGTTTCTATGTTAACCGTAAGGTTCCATTTACAACAATAAGAATATAGACTATCTAGTGATTTCTGTAACCCAGTACTTGTTTCAGAGACGATTACCGCGTCATCAGCGAATAGGAGCAAATATATTGCAATTTGATCAATATCTATTCCAGCGTCAATATTTTCCTGTAATTGCATTTCTATATCATTTGAAAATAAAGAGAAGCAAATCGGCGAAGTAATTTCTCATTGGAACAAACCTAAATTACTATTGAAAAAGTCAGATAGGCTCCCTAAATGTTTTACACAAAGTTTCACTTCGCTGTACATTGATCTTAATACCGACAGAAATTTACCATTTATTCCTAGTTTTATAAATTTATACCATAGCCTACTTCTCTCGATAGAGTCATAAGCTTTTTTATAATCTACAAAACAACAGTACAGTTTATTTTTGTTCAGAAGTTGCTTTTGAATTAATGTGTTTAAAATAAAAACAGGATCTACAGTACTATATTTATTCCTAAAGCCAAATTGGGCATCAGTTAAAACGTTGTTCACTTCTACCCATGTTTTTAATCTTTCATTTAGTAAAACAGTAAATAGTTTTGCAAAACAACTGGTTATAGCGATGCCCCTATAGTTATTTGGATCAGACTGGTTCCCTTTTTCATATATAGGTATAATTACTCCAGTGGACCAAGCACGAGGGAACTTGCCAGAATTTAAAATTTGATTAAAAAATAAATTCAAAGGATTAACTAAAAGAGGGGCAGCTACCTTAAAATACTCATATAAAATATTATCAATTGAAGGTGATTTATTTTGCCCTAACTTGTTTATTGCTTTAAAAATTTCGTCATCAGATATTGGCAAGTCCAACAACTCATTATTACCTTGTCGATTTAAATCGGTATCAAAATCCCTCTAATTCCGTACAAATCCTTCATCATCACACTAAACATCCCCGCCCATAAGATTTTTAAAGTAGTCATTAAATTCTTGATTAGATATATTTTCCCCAGATTTACTTGTTTTATTATGTTTAAACATTTTCCAGAATTCCCTGGGAGATTTTCTTCGTAATTGGTTCATTTTCCGGCCTTGTGCATAATTAAAAGAATTTTTAGATTTTCGGCATTGGTATTTATAATCCTTTTTTGCGTTATACATTGAAACCCTATCCGCACCCGAAAACGTTAGGTTAAATTGCGTAACTGCTTTTTTATATGTGTCATATTTAGTCCGACATACATGATCAAACCATTCTTCATTCTTTTTACGTACTTGATTACAGATATTTGACGTTTCGTGAGATGACCTTTTAAAATACTTGTCACCGTGCGAACACAGAAAGTCCGTAAACATATAAGTTAGCGTATCAACATCTCCGTCTCCGCTTATTTCTGTATTTAAAATATTTAATAAAGACTGTATGTTATTAGTTAAATCGAGTGTAAACGATTCCCTGTATCTATCATCAAACTTATAGTATGACTTTTCCTTATAACTACAGCTGTCATAACTAAATTTTGAGTTTATTTTAAAAGAGAAAGATAGGGGTGCATGGTTAGAATAAGTAGTGAACTCATTTACCGCGAAATTGGCAATGAGGTCAAAAGTTATTTTGACTTGTCAATAAATAATCAACTACACTAGCCCCATTGTAGGTCACGCATGTAAAATTCCCACGATCACCTGGCCATCTACCGTTAACTATGCGTTGATTGGTTGCTTTGCAAAGATCTAGCAAGCTATCCCCAAAACGATTGGTTGACCTATCTTGCGTGGAACGAGGCAGGAAAGTGTCGACGGTAATTACGTCATTCGCCTCTATATTACGATCAAATTGAATGAAATCTGCTTTACTACCAGTTCTTACGGAAGAGCATTAGTGCCAGGTGTATGTTTTTTATTAACTCGAAATTTCGAGTTACTAACTCGAAATTTCGACTTACTAACTCGAAATTTCGACTTACTAACTCGAAATTTCGACTTACTAACTCGAAATTTCGACTAACTAACCCGAAATTTCGACTTAGTAACTCGAAATTTCGACTTAGTAACTCGAAATTTCGACTTACTAACTCGAAATTTCGAGTTACTTATTTCGAAATTTCGACTTAGTAACTCGAAATTTCGAGTTAATAAAAAACATACACCTGGCACTAATGCTCTTCCGTAAATTCTACTATTTAGGTCACCAGACAAAAATATTTTCCCACGATCATTTAAAAAAAATTATATCTTGTTTGAGTTGAGTGAAAATATCAACATTATACACATTATGAACCGGAGAAGATTCCGGAGCAATATAAGTAACACATATATAATAATCGTCTTCAATATTGAAAAAAAAACTTATCTAACTTTAGCTAGATAATACAATCTATTGTATTTTGTATTAATGTGATTCCGTTTCGAATATTGTTCTTAATGTAAACAATTAAACCACCACTCGATCTTTTTGCTCGCCTATGTTGAATTTTTCGATAAGAATGAATAGGATTTGAGTAACCAAGAATATCAATATTGGAGTTTATTTGTCCATGATTCACTAAGACATATTATTTCATACTCTCACATAAGATATATTTCATCTCAGAATGTGCATTTAGAAGATTTGGCATTAATTGTAGTACAGAATGTCATTGTGCTAATAACTCGACTTGCAACAAAGTCAGTGGAATGTGCACAACAGGATTATGCGAACCGGGGTGGTATGGACAAACTTGTAGTCAAGGTAACAAAACAGTTCTCTTGCATATGTTTCTTCTGTAAATGGAATTTTGTGTATAAGTAAAGCTTAAACTAATGTTTCATTCATATTTGACAAATAATATCAAGTTTATCTGTAAACGTAAAAATATTGTTGCGTACAATGGCACTTATATGTGTTCCCTCATACATTATACATTTTCACAATGTGCATAACGTTTTTAGATACGATTTTATAAAATATGAGTTTTTTATCATACATTCTTTTACATTTAACTTCTTTTGATCTTAAAATTTATACCACCTAATATATGTTGTTTTTTTGTTATCTCAGGATGTCCATTCAGAAGATTTAGCGAAAATTGTAGTACAGAATGTAATTGTTTTAATAATTCGACTTGCGACAAAATCAATGGAATATGCTCAACAGGATTATGCAATCCGGGGTGGAAAGGACAATCTTGTAGTCAAGGTAACAAAATAATTCCTTGCCATTGTTTGTTTACAAAATTTTATTTTATATGGTATCAATGCTAAACCGAACGGCTCCTTCATATTTGATAAATAGCATTATTGCATACAAAACTGTGCACGGTTGTTTTATTATTAAAACATAACTGCCAAATAACATCGCACTAGTTAGTGGAACGCATTGCAAAAGCAATGGTTCCGTTATATGAAATACAGTTTACAAAACGCAAAGCACAACACAAATATTATCAAATACGTGCTGCATGCGTACTTAAACGATTTAATGCTATGCGGGCTCGGGTTTTAAATTCGTTCTCGTGCTTCTGCAGATGTTCATGCACAACAAGATGGCATTAACCTTCTAGTGTATTTGTATTTATCAGTTACGTACAATAGACGTCACATAAGTATCATAGTATATTGTATACCTTCGAACAGTGTGTGATAGTGGTACCTATGGCAATCAATGTAGCAGCAGTTGTGGACACTGTGTAGATGGTACGACCTGTAATAACGTGAATGGAACCTGCTTTGGCGGCTGTATTGATGGGTATTTCTATAACGCAACAGACAGACTTTGCAAAACTCGTATGTATCCTTACACTGTATGGTTTATAATCATAAAAAATTGTTTATGTCATTTCTCGATATAACAGATTTTTAATGTAACAACTGATACATGACATAAACATGAAATGCCTATTTATGACAGTTAAAGATGCATTATGTGTCCATTGCTCACCGTCTGATGTAATGTTTTATAAACATTTAAGCGGGTTTTTAGCAGAGAAGACTTTGTAACGAAACTGTTGCGGATTGTTAAATTTATATGGTACATCCAATGTTTTTGCAATTTTAATAGGGTAAATGTCTTTCTAATTGAGAATCACAGACACTACGTTAAATCAATTTTTTAAATAAAAATACGTGTTGTACATATGGGCAGATATAAGTCAGGCATGAGCAATATATAATGCGACTATGCTATTTAAAGAACGTAGCAGGGTTATTAAATACTACCTAACTTTCTATATTATTTTGATACGTACGTATTTTGTTACCTGTTAAAGCATATAGGTCGCTTTAATGAACATTGAACATGACCGACCAAGACAACATAAGTATGTTTTGTGTATAAATGTTGGTCATCTCATTATGAAAAAAAAAACAACAGATGATAATATTTTTACTGTTGAAAGATACTGTATTACAAATTTCTTAGTCATGTGGTACACTTGCATAAACAATAAGAATATCTCCTATTGACCTGTGGAAAATAAACATTAAAATTAAAAGACAGAAATATAAAAATATACACGTTCGACAATATAAATTTGTAATATTTGATTGTGATATAAATTTATTAACACAGCATGCGATGGAATTCATTTTGGGAAAGGCTGTAGCAAGACATGTCACTGTACATATGGTAAACCGTGTAAAAATGGTAATGGTGAGTGTCCGAATGGAGAATGTGCAGCAGGATGGACTTCACGAGCATGCGACACAAGTAAGTACATGTAATAAATAATATTATTAAATAACTATACGTTATTAGTCCTATAAAAAAGCACCTAGCTGCCACGTTCAATAACACGATGGCCTGCCTTAAAACAGGGCCAATATCTATATCACTTTTTCGGCCCCTGGTCGAAAAGTGTTATAGATATAAAGCCCGCATTTGAAGTAATTTGATTGGCCAAAAAATGATATAGATATCTGCAAGAAACTGGGAAATGACAGCCATTTTGTTTTAACTCGGTCTATGTGTAGACGACGACAGGTTGCATAAATGAAACAAAATATTCTCAGTTTCTAAACATTCACAGTCTGACATTTTGTTGTACATGTACAATAAAAGTTACAAAATGTAGGTTTTCCATACAAACTGATAAAATTTTAATGTAGTTATTTTTAAAGTTGTTCTTTGTTATAATTTAAATATGTTACTAAGTCACTTACAGATTTAAAATAAGAAGAAATATCTGAGGATTAAATGTGAAATATTATAAGTACATGTAGTTATTTAATAAAATTGTCAATAAATAAATGATTTGATATTGGCCCTGTAATTTGTCCTCGGGTCAGTCGTATTGGCCCTCGGCCTTCGGCCTTGGGCCAATACGACTGCCCTCGGACAAATAACAGGGCCAATATCAAATCACTTATTTATTAACATATAATAAAAACCCGTTATATAATTACCACTAATTAGTATAACTTAAAATAGGAAGAAAAATCCACTTCTTTCATAACAGTTGTATATTTAATTACCATAGTGTGCACAAATGGAAGTTATGGCTATGAGTGCAAAAACGCGTGTGGGAAATGTGCACACGGTCTTCCATGCAACAACGTTAATGGTACTTGTTCTGGAGGGTGTTTAGATGGATACATTTTAACAGATGTCTTATGCAAAACAAGTAGGTGCATTTACATCAATCTGAAAAAAAAAAACAATGTGAATTGTAGCGAGATACGTGTAGCTTATAACGGGTAGGATTTATCTAACTTTAATGTGATAAATTAGTGATTTCAAATATAAATAAATAAAAGTACAAAACATGCATTTCGTTTGACAACGACGTGTCGGATGTAGGGTATCTTTTTTCTTTTGATTATATAATCAGTACATTGACGACATTTCTAGCTGTAAGCACGATACATTGTATCAAATGATACTCGAGCTAAGTACTCAATATTGTCAATATCAACAATTCCTTCAAAGCTCTGTTTTAAGGTAGCTCGCCACTTTCCGACCGAAATATGACAACATCTCAGATCTTGATGATTTTTAGCATGCAAACATATAAATATGTGAGCTTTACTTCTGCAGTATTATTTTATAAATAAACAGCGTTACTCTGACGTCAAAGCGCCCTTTATCGGTGGCGGTGAAATTGCGTCTTTTTTATCAATAAACCGGTCTGTTCTTATCAATTTTCATCCGATTTCCTTCATTTTAATATCATAATGTTCAGTAAATGTATGTCTTTGTAATGATGTCTTTCTTTAACATTTACTTAATAGTCTGCAATTTTACGTCATTTTTCTCTACGTTCTGACGTCCATATTTGATGCAAATATTGCGCGATATCGCATTAAAGATTGTGTAATAAAAAAAATCAACACGGTGAATTTTGCTATAATTTTCCGAGCGTGTAGTGAAATAGTGAAGGAAAATTTTTATGCAATAAAAATATAGGGTCAACGCGTAAGATATTTTGCTATTACTGTTTTAAAATAAAATAAAGGGTGAGTAAAACGTTATGGTTTTGGTGACGTTAATAGTTGTTGGAGTTCAAAGAATAATACCAAATAACAATTTTCTTACGTCAAACATTACGATAGTAAGTATAAACAACACAGGGACTTGATGAAATGGATATTTTTTAAATTGTTGATTATTTTCTCATTGAAAGCATGCGCTAGATTAGCACATTTACAATGTTTAATCCGACAATCCCTTTTTAAATACTTTTCTAATTTGCAGGACACAGTCTCATACATCTTTTAATTCTAACTTTATAATGTGATGTTGTTAAAGTGTTATATTATTATATGAATTAACTAGTTTTAGCGCAAAAATAAGATTCACATATTGCTGTATGAATGAAGTAAGAATATTAGGTCGCTTAGCTTATACCCGTAGAATATTTATTTTACGTTACATTCAGCCCTTAAACACTTTCATAAAATCACATAAAGGCAGACGAGCCTCGGTGTCAAAACACATCGTAAAAATACAATTAAAATAAATATGCATACAAATGTGCCGAAATAAGTGATAAACAAAATTCAGAAATAACATCAAATATGTTAAAGGGACTCCACTGAGGTATTTTGACATGATGGAACTGAAAATATTTTTCCAGATAAATGTACCATTTGATGTAGGTTTATACCACGAATCTTTGTGCAAAATTTCAGAGCATTCGCGCACTTGTTTTTCCAGAATAATTATTCAAAATGAAAAGCGTTTAACAAAAGCATAAAAATACGATTTTCAATTTATTTCAAAGTATATTCGCATATATTTCTGTTAAAAGTGCCCAGCTCATTTATGTAAGAAATTCAAATGTTATGTGTTTGTCTTTTCAACCTCAGTGGAGTCCCTTTAAGAATATTTAAAAACAAACTGTACAAGAAACTAAAACCTTTATTTCATTTTTATTTTTGCTTACCATTTTTAAGTCTGTGCAATACATAGATTATATAATTATAATCTAATTAAAATGTCATGATAATTAGAAAATGAGCACTTATGTGACAAACTATAAACTATTTTGGAAGCAAAATCATACTGAATAAAAAAAAATATAAGCATATTCGCTACTGCAGACTCGAATGTGAAACACCCAATATAACCATTACTCAACTCGGATTCATTACCGTTTTTTCATTACTGTACAGTATAACATAGCGGCCCTCAAAGTATTATTTATTTCTAAAGAGTTCCACTACATTTTACCTCTGTAGAGCAACCACTCTAGGCAACAAAGGGCATTTCTCTGTAAAGGTTATAGTGTATATTCTAATTAAATACAACATATAATTATTAATTAACTTGTGCAACTTTTGTTTCCACTGAATACGAATAATGTATTATGTTGACGTTATCTTGTTCATTTTTAATACAATACAGTTTGCTTTTAAACAAAAAATAAAAAAAAAACAAGAAAAAAGACCAACAACACGTGTTTATGATGTTAGCAATAAAATGGACTTCTCCCTTATTAACGGAGATCATAATCAGTTTTTTTTTTACTTTGAATATTCTTCTGTTGCCACGGTGTAATCGGTAAAGTGGTCTTACGATGAATTCGGAAGGCATGGATTCGAGACACGATTGCGTATTGTACTAATAGATTATTCTTTAGAATTGTTTACTGTGTATGAAATGTTTCAAGGTCCACCTCGGACTGCTGTCATTCATTTCCAAAGAGAAGTTGATACTGTGAATTCGTGAAATTCCCTCCGCTTTAATTGAAATACTGTTGAAAGCGGCGTTAAACCCAATATTAAAACATAAGAAGATATGAAACATAAAATGCATAGTTCATTATTTTCATAGGCTCTACACAGCACTGCATTATGTGCAGACAAAAAACGAGCTTCTCACAAATTGAGGATCCTACATGGTCTTCAATACAAGGGAATCTGTATTTAATATGCAAAATTCTCCGCTTCTGAACATACAAAAAAAATCAACGGAACTTTCGCCTTTAATCGAGAAATGATCGCTGCTTCAGGTCGCCTCATAGATGCGCTAGTAAACGCATACCGCAAGTCAGCTAGTTTAAAATAAATAAGAATATCTGTAATTATGTGAAATACGTGAGAAATTAAAGCCATAGCATGAGAGCGTGATTCCTGCTTTAAATCTGAGTCTCACGCTAAGTGCAGGGTATTTAGCTGCGAGAAAATAGAATAACTGATGGCTGTTAATAAATAAATTTTTATACGTGTAGAACATTTTTTAATTAAATGTCTGCTAGATTTTATAATATAATTAAGACTACTACGTACCAGTGAATCATGGCTTACGTACAAATCGTTGCTACTTCCAGTTGATCATATATTTTTGAAACGTAAATTTGATTCATGTCCTACCACATACATAGATGTTATCTATGTCTCTGTTCCTACTAACTGATATATACCGCCTATATGACTGAAATACTGTTGGAAAAAGGCGTAAAATGAAACAAACAAACAAACAAAAACTGATATATACAATTCAAAATTGTTACATATGATAACATGGAAGTTTATGTTGTACCGCGATACACATAACATGATGATATTGTGACTGCACAGCCTTTTCATTCTTTTTTTTCTGACCTTCTTTGCAAAATTTATGTTTTTATAATTTCCACTTAGGTGGCCTTTTAATTATATCTTTCAATAGTCTGAATTGTCTTTCCGTCCTCGAGGTATTTATATCCATTCGTTGCAGTTTTTCAGCGATTGATACCAACTTTTGCAGACAGTTATACCCTGATTTGTTGTACATGTATATAATTGAAGATATTCATCGAAATGCAGGCATCTGACAGGACTTATAAAAGAACATTTTTACGGAACATGTCTACAAACTATTGTTGTTGATGGTTTTCACACATTTTTATTCCTGTCAGTATGTTATTTATCGAAAAAGTCGTGAAAGTTTCCTTGAGAAAAATATTTGACGTCTCCAAAATCATTACGTTTTACTCACCCTTTATTTTATATTCAAATAGTAATAGCAAAATATCTTACGCGTTGACCCTATATTTTTATTGCATAAATATTTTCATTTATGACTTCACTACATGTTAAAAAAATTAAAGCAAAATTCACCGTGTTGATTTTTTATTATTTCACAATCTTTATTGCGATATCGCGCAATATTTGCATCAAATATGGACGTCAGAACGTGAGGGAAAATAACGTAGAATCGCAGAGTATTAAGCAAATGTTCAAGAAAGAGATCGCTACAAAGACATACCAGTACTGAACATTATAAAATTAAAATGAAGGAAATCGGATGAAAATTGATAATAACAGACCGGTTTATTGATAAAAAAGACGCAATTTCGCCGCCACCGATAGAGGGCGCTTTGACGTCATAGTAACGCTGTTTATTTATAAAATAATGCTGCAGAAGTAAAGCTTACATATCTACATGTCTGTATACCAGAAATCATCAAGATCTGAGATATTGTCAAATTTCGGTCGGAAAGTAGCGAGCTACCTTAAAACGGTTTAAAGGAAGGGTGCGACGTAATTTGCACACCAGTAATTGAAACTTATTTTCTCTCATTTTTTCTCGGATTTTGTTATTTGTTTCAATTTAGAAAGGAGAGATTTTCCTAAAGCACTGATTTATATGTGAACATCACATGCTTGGTACAGTCTGTATGAATCTTCTGAATATGTAATCACTATTGGAAAGGAGCAATAAAAAATATACTCTTTCTCGACTTGCATTCATATTTTTATCAACTTTTCTTTTGCTTATTTTTCAACAGTGCAGAAAACATGTATCTTATTTATTCTAATATTAAGCATGTCAAAGCGGATTTTACGGACACAATTGTTCAAAGCCGTGTGGACACTGTAACAAGGACTTGGCATGCAACATTTCCAGCGGATTTTGTTTTCACGGATGTAGTGCTGGCTTCAATGGTCATTTGTGTGAAACAAGTTAGTGGCTTATTTTATTTGTTTGTAAAGTCTTTTACAGTCTTGGCCAGTTCTTCTATAGCAATCGTTTTGACCGTCTCCAAGCTTCTGTTGAAACAACTAATCAAACACTTTTATTTATATTTGTGTCATTACGTGCGAACCCTTTTTAAGCAACCAAATATCATGGGTGTTTCGAGATAAATGTTATCTCTGATTATCTCTCCTTCATGTTTCTTTTTCTGGATGTAAGTTGTAAAAAAGTCAATAATCCTTGTAATTAATCTAGGTTTTTCACATTCATTTCCATTAACAAGTATTCTTAATTGTATATTGTTCAAGTGTAATTTTATATTTTATTTGTAAAAGCTGCATTTACGAGTACGCCTTTTTTGTGCCACCTGCTCCAGTGTACATAGTAGCGGCAACATATAGAAAAAATTATTCTGCCTCTCTGTCCGTATGTCGGTCAATTCACAGCAGAAAACCTAAATGTAATTTTATGTACAATCTATACAGATTATGTGACCAGAGGGTGGGGGTCAATGTTTACCATTCTTGATGAATTATATAATTGTTATAGCGGACTCGCATGTGATTCTGAATGAACAAAAATATTTCAGTTCTTGGCATTGTACTTTCTGAGAAGGAGATTGATTTGTAAGACATTTATACCATACAAGTTCATGTCAGCTAAATGACACATTACATGGTCCCTTTTTTCTTCAGGCGTAATAACTTATATACCGTTTGTATGACATAAAAAAACAACAACAAAAAAAAACAATGCTACATGCCAAACATGGAAGCTATTTAGCATAAGAAGACTTACGTTTAGTTTCCTATAGTTTAGTTTAATAATATTTTATTGCTTTTACATTTTAAACAAAAACAGATACATTGTCACATGCAAACAAACTGCAAAACAGTAATGAATAAATTTACATTTATTCCATGGATGTTATAGTTATTATTAAATCGTTTGTTTATATGAGTCTTTACGCTGCATTATGACAAAATTGTATTTGATCATTATGAAGTGAACGTTGTTAAGATAATAAATTTGTATTTAATTTATTTTGTTTTTTTTTACAGATTGCAGAAACAGCACATTTGGACCAAATTGTGCCAATCCGTGTCACTGCTCAGGCAATTCACATTGTGATATTTTTCAAGGAAACTGTTCAAATGATTGTGACATCGGTTGGGCTGGTTTCAATTGTAGTATAGGTATATGATTGTCAAATCTAAAATATTTTCAGTATGTAAGGTACGTCAGAACAATATCTATAATTTATGTAAAAGAAAAAATACCGAAACACGAAGTTATCTAATTCGATTAAAGGGAGGGGATGCAGAGTGTTTTGTATCCTAATCCCTCTCATTACAATATCTAAATTCAATCCTCAAGCATCAAACTATGACTTCTCGATAGCTTTTCCTTTCCCTGTCGGGACAATCAGTAAATTTCAAAATCATGTAGCAAATCTAAGAGCATGTTGTATTTTCATCCCCGATAGACATTGTGGTAACTGGAGAGCGTGCAACTGATACTGGTACTCTTGTAAACGCATTGTACATTAATGTTTTAATGATTTATTTCCAAAACTTTTCTAACCAAAGCTCGTCCTGCTATGATGATAAGAAAAAGTTTGCTTATTGAATGTCAATCATTTTATTCTATTTAATCATTTTTTAATCTACTTTTTTGACTTTAAGACGTTACCTAAAATATAGAAGGTTATTTTACAATGGTATCGCAAGTAAATTCATTATGGATCCATTGTAGAAAGATAAACTGACAAATACAAAAAAAAAGAAAACCCCCTCAAGATCAAACAGTTTATACGATCCTACACTAGGAGATTCAAGCTTTTCTTTAAATTAAGGTTCAACCAAAATGATTGGATGTAGTTAATCAACGTATAAATGGGAAAATTACAAAGGAGACGAACGAGTACTAAAACCTGCTAGCTGTATATATATTTATTTCTATACCAGTCGAATAAATATTCTTATTAATTGATTGTGTTTGAAGCAATTTTGCACATTTATCTGACAATATGGCTAACATAATACATGTAATATGTACATATTGGTAGTTTAAATTGACTTCACTGAGTTTTTTTTACAAAAAGGGGGACAGAAATATTTTCGAGATTAATGTTTCTTTTAATGCAGCTCTAGATCAATGGTAAAGAATAACCAAAAATTAAAAAAGTGTTGTGCATAACGCTGTTCACTCAAATCGACCACGAATAGCAGTTTTAATTATTTCTGGGTGTTTTTGATTGTTTTTTTTACCCAGGTGGTCTATGTAGACAATTCATTTCTTTAATTTCAGGCTTTTGACCTCAGTGAAGTTTTTTTTAAGGTGAAGGTTACACTTAGAACCAACCTTATTTTTTATCTTAAAAGTACAAACATATACGTCAACAAATATACCATTGATATATGAATTCTAAAAGAACGATGTTTAACTATTTGGCTCATTAAGGCCACAGGTAGGAAACAAGAGCCAGTTCATCAACCAGATATATACGAGGTTGACCTGGGTAACATTTTGTTATGATAGTGCATTTATAATTGTCAAGTTTATATAGAAAATATTAAAAGAGTAATAATGAGTGAGAACATTTTGAAGCTTATTGACCAAGTTCGCATATAAACTTTTTTGATATTCTTATTTTTCATAAATAAGAATTCACTTTATGTCAGGTCATTAATTTTGTATTTAATAGATTGGTTTGAACCGTCTAGTCAAACATTTCTAGTGCATAAGGGCAAACGCTCGAAGGTCAGTGTTAAACTATGAAATAACTGAACATAGTCCTTTCATTTTTATTGATTGGTCAGTGTTTCCACCATTGTGAACGTATAAATTGTAATCCGGTCTAATTTTTATTACAAAAGACACATTAATATAGAGGTATTGTCGCATATTAAGTTATAGAGCGAAAGTGTTAATATCACTTTAAAAAATGTAATTTGAGAAACATACTGGCAATGTATTTATATAACTAGAATAGTATAAGGGACGAGAATATATCAATACTACTCAAAATTGAACTGCTACTTAATTGATGCAAATATTTTTTTAGGAAGTAGATCATTTTAGAGTCGAATAACTTTGTATTCGTTATTGTCTGTATCATGGAATATTAAATTATATTAATAAACATTCTAGTTTATAATGCTCAGGAGTTACACAAATCATTATAATTGTGACAACTCAAAATTGAAAGAAAAATGATGAGAACAGTAAAAATACAACTTCTCCCTCAAAGGAAGTACGTGTTACAATTTTATCTAGTGTTACCAAATCAACTGTATCCAACATAGTTTTCATACCCTTAAACCAACAACAAACAGCACCTCCGACTATCAGGTCTTACTAAACGTACAATTATGCTTGTCTTTTGATGATCAAACAAATATGTAATATATTCCATCTGCTTCATTGTATTTCGCAATACGTTTTTATTTTAAATATCATGTCAGTTACACGTCAAAATGGTTATGATAAACTATCCTCTGAATCGTAAATGTTTTAGATCTTAATATTCTTCGGCGCAATACAACCTCTTCAACAACACTTCAGTCAAGGATGTACAAGACATGTAGCGCCGACCGTGCAATTGACGGTATAGATGCACCAGTTAATGCATCCAATGATGTGGATTTATGTGCGGCTTGCAGTGTGACACAAAACGAAAACAGTGTTCATGTTTCATGGTGGCAGTTGGACTTGGGGTCGATGTTTCTTGTGAAGTCCATAAGAATTGTTGGCAGACCTAGCAAGTATTTGGAGCATAATTTCCTTAAGTCACTGGGCAATTTTAGTACACAATATCTTTACATTGGGAAACTGTGTTAATTTTGAATTTGAAATATTGACTGTTGGTATTTGGTATATAATATTTTCTGTTAGTTGCTAACCAACACGTCCCTGACATTCGTTGATAGGTCTTACTGAATCATAACATCACAAAAGCATTTTTATTATGTTTTATAAATAAAAATACAATAATTTTCCATGTATGAAAATATTGTTTTTACATGATTGTTCCATAATAGGGTGAATTGGAATTCATAATGTTTTAACGTACTGATTATTGAAAGTTTGCAAATATTTTCAGATTTTTCCGCACAAAGTCAAAGCATAACTGGCTACATTAACAATATTTCAATGGAACTAAACCAGACAGGTACGAAGTTACGGATCAACTCTTCTACTGGACATGTATTTCATATGGAACTAATGAAGCCTCGATTATTTCAATATTTAAAAATTACAAAACAGGACACTGTTTTAACACTATGCGAAGTCAAACTATACGAAGCAGGTAAATATAAATGTAGAAACTAAGTGTTATAGATACGCTTAACATTAAATTACACTGGAATCTCTTTATATACATTTTCCGCAACCCCGTCAATAATATAACTATTTCTGTCAGTAAAGTACATTTGTATATATAAAAATATTTAGTGCTGCGTCTAAGAGGTTAACATGTCAGACTAGTCATCCGTTAGAATTGCTAACAAGTTGAGGACCATCACCGTCAGGGACAAGCCTCTGTTTATTTGAGCAAGAACCTTTATACTAATATCTTGTTTCCAGAAAACAATGAGAATGCTTTAAGAAGAGCATAGCTCTCTACACAATCAAATTAAAATGAATTCTCTGTCTCTGTGAGCTTAATATTTGAAAATGATCGAGTCAAACCAATTCTTAATGATACATTTATGTAAGATCATAGCATTTTCATGTCATATCAGAATGCCCAGTTGGAACATTTGGAGATAAATGCTGTAATCCGTGTAAATGTGCTGACAAGCTGAATTGCGGCAAAGTCAAAGGAACATGTATAAGTAAAGGATGTTTACCTGGCTGGGAAGGAGCATCTTGTAATAAATGTAAGAGCAAAGTGGCATTGAAATAATTCTTATTAACATGGAGATATTACGAATATGTCATATTTAGTTGAAGAGATATCATAACTGTCCTTAAACTTTAATGTGATAATTCATTTGGACTGTCGCTTAATTAGTAAATGCATTTGATAACTGTTGAAGAAAGAGGCAGTTGTGCTACGGCCAATTTACTTTATTTAGGGAACCACTTGAGAATAGATATTTGAAACGTCCGAAGTAAGGTTGCATTTCAGTTTGCTTGTTGTGTATGCTTTTAATTTAAGAGACATTTCTTGTTCCTTGGAGAATAAAAAATGATTCAGTTTATAATTTCCCTTTACACGTATTTAAGAGATGATATTGTGACTATATAATATTTGCTGAATTCTCGTACTTTCAATGTGTTTCCTTTAACAAAAATAAATGTAACATTCATCATACTACTTTCATTTAAGTCTTTTCATTTCATACAAAATGTAAATCAAAGTAGGTTATGATTACTAAGAATATAATAAAACGATACATAAATATCAAATGGGTTTACAAATGATACAGCATGGTAATTGTAAGAAAAGCTATTAAAGTATGCGTTATTCGTTCTTTGATATGTATTTCAATTTTACTGAAGCATGTGGTCATCAACATTTTGGACCAGACTGTGAATACCAGTGTCATTGTTTTTCTAATGGATCATGTGCAAAAGATTCGGGAATATGCAAAAACTCCCGTTGTGATCCGGGATGGGAACTTTTAAATTGTAGTAAAGGTAATTGTTTTCAAAAGTTATAGTTTTTCTATTTTGCAAGTTTAAATCTTGCTAAAATACAACTGTCGCGACATTAATCTTTTTTTCCTTTCTCTTTCGTTTATTTCTTTTGCATATTAAAGGTTGGTTAACAATGAGTAATATTTCTCTTTCTATTCTTTTATAAAATGATCATGAACGTTAAAAACTTTGATAAAATAAATGAAAATTGAAACAACAATTACAGAATAAACCCAACAGACTATTGTTCTTTAAATACACTTAGCAGAATCAAAATTGATGAGCTAACTGCCTTTAACATAAATTCATTTCATGAATATTTACTTGTAAGCATGTTTAAGTTGAGAAAGAGAACCAGTAGATAATTGTTCTGTAATAGTTTGGTTTCATTTCATCAATATATTCTGCTTAGACCTATGCGTCATAAACATCTATCATATTGTAACATTCTCACATTTAAGCATGCAGCTTTCCACATTTCGGAGATAACTGTAGAGACACTTGCCATTGTTTAAACAATTCTGAATGTGATCACCGTGATGGAAAATGTGAGATTAAATTATGTGAAGCTGGCTGGCAAGGAAAGAGTTGTAATAACGGTAATTAAATATACTGATATCATTTAAACTGATGATCTATCGTAATTCTTCTCAATTGTACAAGTTCAAACATTTTCTAGCACCTTTGTTCCGTAAATCCCATATAATGAGTTCTGAAACAATTTGTCTGGCCACTGAATATTTTGGGAGAAGACAAATCGTCATTCGAATTATTTTATCAGTTCACAAAACTGTTTGATACATTTTCATGTCAAACGTTAACATTTAAAATTATCATTTATCAGCTGAATGTGTTAGCTATAATTTACATACATATCTGGGTTTCTTATGTTAATCTCACAAGTATCGCAGACAAAAAACAGTACGTTAATGTTCAATTAGCATAGAAAATCTTAGAACAGTAAACCGACAAGCTACAACGTACTTATGTCTTTGATAGTGTGTACATTCGCGACTGAATTGAATGATTTCAATTTTGTTTACAAAACATATTCACAAACATACCAACATCGATTTGCCACTGTCCCAATGACACCAACTGAGACAATATAAACGGGCATTTGTAAAAAGGGTAAATAAATTTATAGAATTTATGAACAATAAAATTGTTGTTTCAGTAGGCTTATACTCAAATCTCAAAGGAGTTGTTACATTGAATGCCTCTGTTATTTTACATACACAAATACTGTATGTAAGTATGTAAGTATGTTAAAATGCTTCGAAGCTGAATATTATGCTGCTATTTCAAGTACAATTTAATTATTTAGCAAAAATCAAACGTATTTCTTAAAGGAAAAACAGGTATATAAAAGCAGAACAGGTATTAAAAAGAAAACAGGTGTATTTTAAATATCAATTTTCAAAATTCAAACAATAATTTTGCAGCAGACATATAGTTAACTTTATACACTTCAAATAATGTGCGCAGTTGTGGTCGGAAATGTCGTAGCTATTACAAAAGAAACAAAACCAAAAAGTATACATTGTACTAGTTTAACTTTAAAAGCGATCATTAATGATTCCATACGGAATTGAATCGCTTCAATTTTATTAATACCGTGTGATTTCATTTGAAATATAATGTTAGCCTAATGAGGTACCTTTTTATAATTAAAACATAGAATTATACATCAGTTTATGAATATGTTACTTTAAGAACAGACGAACAGACCTATTAAAGTTCTGAGGTTACATGGGCTGTAGTTAAGTTACAATCGCCTGTATGCCTACTTAATACTTACTGAAACCTTTTACATGAAGGAGTAAGTCTCTGTATATCGAGTTTTGATCCAATCTCGGGATGTATATTAGGTCCTTGCAGGCATGGTTAAGGCTATAAAATTGATAATGTGACTTTGGTTTGAACATTATTATTTATATATTCCAGTTTGACAAATGGTGCAATAATTCCAGGGTCCCTCAATGCAACCATTTAGTGACAAGTGGCCTTCTGTATTTTAACAGTCCCTTCTGGGATTCCAACCCATAGCGATAAGGGAATTATGGCTCATAGCTTTATTTATTTATTCGTGTCAAACATCTTACAAACACTCCCATTTTCATGTTACGTTAACCACCTTTTCTGGTATTATTTCTCTTAAGTAGTAATCCAGTTTGAGGAACTTTGCATGCATATTGTAGATTTGTAAATTAGTTTAAACTGCTAGATTGAACAGCTAAGGTTATATTATCAGTCTTGTGTTTTAAGTTTGTGACCACCGACGATTTGGTATTAACTGTTCATCTGTATGTAACTGTCGTGATAATACAAGTTGTAATGCTATAACTGGACACTGTAAGACTGGTTTATGCGACCCAGGCTGGCTTGGCCTCAGCTGTGACAAAGGTAAAAACCCATTTTTTATTTAACAAATAAAAGAATAAACAAGCCCTAATATTTATGTAAAAAGTATGTTGTTGGTATGCCTTTTGTCGCCATTTATTTGTTTCATTCGATAGCAGATGCTTTGTAGCATAGCATAGCTTACACACACATAAGAATGACAAGCTATATTAGAAACCATACTTCATTTATTCCACTACATATTGACACCACCTCGTAACAAATATAATATCGAATGCATTTTTGTTTTCATTTAATCATTTTACGGGCGTATAAATTTTACGCTTGATATGTTTTTAAAACAAAATACGACTGCGTGCTATAACAGTATTTTGTAAAGACAATAATTATAAACACACAGTCTCGATCTTTAATAATCATTACAAAGAACCTGATATGTGTTTGTCAACGTAATAACCTTTTCTTGAACTCGTTACATTAAAGCTCCTACAAAATGACAACTTATGTCAGATCCTATATGTTTTTAAAAACACGTTTTGCTTTACATTCTTTACAAACAAATATATTAGAGTATCATATAAACCTAATGTTTCTTACTCTAAAAATACAACTTACAAAAAGATGTTTCATTGCAAGATAATTTATCGTTTAGTCATATCAATTCAATTTTGTCTATCGTTCTTTTAGGCGGAAATCTGATGGAGATGATAAAGTATCAGGTTAGAACAAACATGTCTTCAGAAGCCCAAAGCACTAACTCTTCATTTGCTGTTGATGGACAACTAGGCCCTGATCCGGATAAATGTCAATGTTGTAGTATAACTTATAATTCACCGTTATCTTGGTGGCTGTTAGATCTAGGGAAACGATATCCGCTGAAAAGTATAATAATTTATGGAAGGAACAAAGGTGACTTTATAACAGCACATATACAATTTGTCAGAACTATTCATCTAAAATATAATCTTCGTCATACAATAAACACGTTAACAGTGTTGTATTCAAATCTGTCTTGCTATGTTGTAAAACTTTAATGTCTACGTCAAAAAGATTACTGAATTTTGGGTATATAGGAAACAATCAACATTATGCTGTTTTGAGCAAGAGATATCAATAAGATAAGCTTGTCCTGCTTTCTGTTGATAAAAGCCTTGAAATTGAAAAAAGGAAATAATAATAATAATAATTTTATATATTCATTGTGATATTAAAGACCATTTTAATGCATTTTCCTTTCAGAGGATTCGTATCAACAACTAACAGGCTTCAAGCTTCTTCTATTAAATAACACCGTCGATGATAAACCTGATATATTCTTGTCTAATGACTTCCTTCATACGTTCGGAGAAAATAGTTATGAGCACACGTTAAATAATGCTTTAGCAAGATATATAAAGATAGAAAGACCGGGCGTTTTAACTCTTTGTGAAGTTATTGTTATTGAAGGAAGTAAGTATTGATTTGTTATTCTAACAATATAAAATTCTAATTTTTTACAACATATGTTTTATGTTACCATGTGTATGCAGAAGTTTATTGATAGGCGTGATAAGACATTTGCCATCAGTCAGGTCAACTTCATCAACGCTAAATAAACAATAAACTATAGTGCTTCTTCCAAAATTAAATATTTGTATCATCATGTTAACAATGCGGTTAACAGACGTTTCCTCAGATATTTGTCAATCGACTCGAAATTGTATAGAGGCTGAATTACATGGTTTCATGAATGTCAGATAGAGTTTTAAGTCATAACCTTTCTTAATTACCTATGTGCAATATATTTGAATAAGTTGTATTTTTGTTTTTTTTTAACCGATAATAATTACATTCATTAGCATATACACATCATAGCAAATGTTTATGTATACTGTATGATATGCATAACAAAATTTAAACTTTTTATTTGTCTAACAACGGATTTCCAACGCCTTCATGAAAGAGCTTTATGCGTAAACATAAGCAATACAATTTAAAGATAGCAATGCTTACTTAACAGATTGCAAAGATGGGACATTTGGAGAGGAATGTGTGCAAGACTGTCACTGTGCTGATAATAAGCCCTGCCAGACAATACATGGTTACTGTCAATCACCAATTTGTAAACTTGGTTGGATGGGCAAGTCATGTAATGAAAGTAAATATAAAAATACAGTACAATTTGGTTTTTTGAAATTTGCAAAATACAACCGTATTGATTAAGGACAATTTTATACATTCATTGATATACCTTCATTTTATTTCGTACACACTATATATAGATGTGAAGTTAAATTAAAGAGCAAAGAATGTGATAATCATGACCCTTAGTTTGTCAATGGTATTAAAATACCATCGGAAGTACGAGCATATTTCCGCATAAATCAGACGGCAACCGATATAATGACGGATTAATACTAAAGCAAATTATTTTATATACTCTATTCCGGTTGTTTAGAAAATTGTTGAATATTAGCTATTTAACTTTTCTTCTACCTTTAAATTATGCAACCGTTCAAAATGTCATATCAGGCGCACGCAGTAACCAGAGAAGGAAAGACAGGTCTAAAATAATAATATAACAGTACTGTAGATTTTCATTTAAATTGCAGATCTCTGTATAATCATTAGATTAATAATTTTGTTCATTTTTTTTTTTGGTTCAATTTTACACGAAAAGTCAATTATTTGCTATACATAAGTAGGTTTATTATTTCGTAATACCATTTTTTTAAAAAATATGCCTGTTCTGTTATATAAACAACATATAGGTTTGTGAGAAATAGTAAAAGTATCATCCCGAGAAAAATTCGCCTCGAGACACAGTATATAAACGAGGGATATTTGTTTTGCTGTTACTCACAAACCTACATGTATGTGTTGGTTATTTTATACCCTGAACAAATACTTGATTGGGACAATATTGGTTTTATAACCTAAATAACAGTACAATATATTTAGTCACATGGTACGCTTGAATTACATTTTACTTTACAAAACTAAATATAAGTGATAATAATTATTCTTCTGCGTAGTACATAGAACAATAATTAGCTCAGTGCACACATATATCGAGGAAACTTACTTTTAATTAAAGCAATGTGTGTACATGTATGCATTCCAATGGGTAAATGCATCGGCTTGATAGATATTGCCGTAAATACGCCACGAATTACCACAGTATCGACAAATTGGCTACGAAATCTATTTATCGTGTAGAACAGGATTCAATGAAATACAGCATAAGTAAAATGTAATGCTATAAAATGCATTTTCATGCAACGAAATATGTTAAATAAGATAATTTTTAGAAAGGATAAAAAATCAAATCCTATAATGAAACACAGAAGAAGGGCAAAAATGTCAATTTTGCGAAAATATTTAGCCCGAAACTTTATAGAGCAACCAGAAATATAATATATACAATTCTCAAAGATGACGTCACACCGACGGTTATTATATTGTTCTATATTTTAATACCTAAAACATTTCGGCGTATATTGTAATAAACTAGTATTCGCCTGTCTGATAGCAATGTCGTGTTCGTTTTGTACCTTTTGAACCGATGGGAGGACATTGAAACTACTTGGCAAAAATGTTTACTATGATTAAACAATGTGTCGAATACAGGTTTGATCACTGGATTGCTTTCAACATATTTAAGTCTCATTGGGTAAAGCTACAATGCTAGCATTCTTTTATTTAGCTTTATAAAACCGATATGAATAATGATTCTTAGTTCAATATTGGCAATATTCGGGGGGAGGGGGCATTCCATTTCTATAGACTTACAATGAAAATAAAAGACTTATGATATTAAACTGAAATGTCAAGAACTTAAATATTTTGCATGTAACATCGCCATATGCACCACTGCATAACTTGCATTAATCATGACCCTTGGTATAATATTTGCCCCGTTATGGGGGTTACTTGGTTAATGAAGTATGATATAGAGAAATGAAAACAAATTTTAACACACAACAAAGTATAACAACAAAGTATTATGTCAACAAATGAACTGAAAATTATTTTATTGTCATTATGTTTATGTTGTTTAACAAAAGTTTATTAAACTTGTTTTATTAATTATTATTTTTTAATTTATCAATTAATAAAATTAAAATGTACAATTCTATACAGAATTGTAGCCGTCCATTATTTTGAGGCATTACACGTATTGATTTAATATAAATTTGTGCTCACCTTTCAAGGCTGTACTAAGAACACGTTCGGTGAAGAATGCAAGCAAGTGTGTTATTGCGAAGAGGGCACTTGTACCAGCGACTATGGTATTTGTCCTAGTAAATGCAGATATGGATATCGTGGTGTACATTGTAACATAGGTTAGTAATATGCATCTTTAACAAAACCATCTCACTGATTCATAAAACAGAGAGGAATGAAGAATCCACCTTACTTCATATATATCTACTGATCGGCCAAAACTGGTGAACTCATTTGATTTCAACGCAATTAATTATATATAGTTATATGATACATATTATCTATGTTTTCCACATTGTCCATGCTGTGTTAAAGTTCTTGTCTTCTTCTTGTGAAGTCTTAACTCAGTTATCTCTAGTTAGCAACAAATCAACTTGTTTACTTTAATTATTCATATTAAGCTAAGAATTGGCAGACAGTTTCGTAGTATGGATAGAGGGAGTTTGCAATGTTTTAAACTTACACTTTTCTTCGTAGGTAAATGATCTTTTATCTTTTTACTCAGAGGGTATAGAAGCAGCTAAGGAAGCGGATCATTCAACTGCTGCAGTTATTGGAGGCTCAGTTGCTGGTGTAGTGGTTGGCATTTTGTTGCTGTTGGTTGTTCTTATATATAAACAAAGGCTGCAACGAGGCAAAAGGTATGTTTTCTTGTTTTGATTTTTACCAAAAAATAAAGAAATAAATCAAAATAATAAATGAATATATTTGATAAATAGACCGTGCATAGAAGTTTATTTTGCAAAATAAAACATACTAGATGCTTAAGATAAAATTAGGCTTTTCGCTGCTAGGTTTGATACGCTGTTCTTGTTATTTAATATCATAATCAGACTTCATCGAATAAATCTTCTATTTTTACCTTTAAATTATTGTTTGAGTTGTTCTGTAGGGTGTCCTTCTTTAATTTTAAAATAAGGGAGTTTCACTACGATTTGTAAACCTAAACAAATCTGTAATACATTAATCTACATATCGGACTTGAGACCTCCCCCCTAATTAAAGATTTCGTTATGTATGTTAAAAAAAGAATTGTTTTTATAATTAACAGGAATGAAAGTGAAAACTACTACAAAACAATCCATCGCAATATGGCACAAGTAGATGATGAGACAACTTACGATACAATTGACATTTCACACGGTAACAAAAAAAATCATTCAAGTAACAACACTTAAACTGAAAATATTTTACTTGGATAATTGCAAATAATCTGTGTATAGTTGATAAAGAAACAGCATTTAATCAACTCTTTACAATTGTGTGTGCTGTTATTAAAATTTATTTTTATAAAATAATACCGACATAAAAGTGCCGTTATATGTCATTTCAGCATTCACTTGTGAAAATAATATTGAGTCAAGTACTCTGCCATGTGATATCTAGGACAAAGGGTTTAAAATAGTAAGCTAGATAGTTTCTTTATATAACATTATTATAGCATTAAATGTGTACGCATCTAATGAGGCATATGGTCCACTATAAATGTTAGTTATATTCTTTCAATATAGTGAAAGAATATTGACATTAACTAACATTCATATCTGAAACGAGTTGCAAATTACTACACATCAACTCAATTCAAATACTTACAGAAATAATTTGCTTTATAGTCGACAAAAGTTATATGTATTATTAAATGTTTATATGTTGCAGATAATCAAGTCCAACTGAACGAAGAAGATAATGTGCGTGTTACAGGATTATGACATGTCAGTCACAGTTACAACATTTATATATTAGATATAATTATGTTCGTATTATTTTGTGATTTTGTTTGTCCATACTTGAAGTATGTTCAACCGTAAAGTTGAAATAATTTAGTATTTAGAGTGTGTTTGACAAAAACAAGGGAAGAATTATATGTACTGATGAGGTTTAAAGAGTAGATGATTAATTGTTCTTAAACAAATTATCATGTTTCATTATATAAATGCATAACAAAATCAGTACCACTTTATTTTGTGAAAAATATTCAAAGGGAAAATTTATTTAAATCATACATTTCTATTTTCATCGTTAGTTCATCGCAACATGAAATACTTATGAAACATGTGCCCATTTGAGACCACTCCACTTAAATAATGCATAATGAAAAGAAAAAGATTATATTTGTTTTTTTTTCTATGACAACACTGTTTTTTTTAAGCTGACGAGATGACACAAAATGTTACCTTACACAAATACCAAGGATTGAACTTAGTTCCGAATTAGAATCATAGTTCATGTTTTTAATTATTCGTTTGTTTATCAACTGGTAACTTTCAATTTGGACGACCTCTTCATAATACATAAGAAAGTTTGAGCTTAAAGATAAGTTCAAAAGATAACGTGAGATTGATATGACAATGTTTCGTTCAAACAAAATGCTTGCATGTTTATCGGTGTAATAATTAGAAACATTTAAATCGGCTGTTTTAAGAATGCTTGGTTGTGGTTTGTTAACTTATCGTTGGACATTGTGACTTTCGTTTGTTTTAACTTATGCACTTAGAGTTGTTAGAGTTATAGCGCTCAGTGTAGTTAACATATTTTGTTGTATTTCATGTCTTCCTATTTGACCTTTTTCAATTTAGGTGGTTTCACTATTTCCACTCGGATATACTGCCTGCTTTTTAAATTTGTAGTTTGACATCTTGACTGTAACATGCATGCTTTTTAACCTCAGACCCACCTTTTAAATGCCAAGTCGGCGCCTTGTCCGTCTGTCCGAGCAAACATTTTGGGTTTAGGGGCTATATAACAGTAAAGAGGACAAAAGAGAACAATATGCTCATTCCGTGATCAAAGGATTAAGGGGCTAGTAGCCCTTAAGAAAACAAAGACAATAACAAAGAAAATAGCCCCTACAGCCAATATGTTGGAACGTCCGTCCGTCCGTCCGTCCGTCCGTTGTCTTGTCCGGAGCATTGTCAAAGAACCATTTATTTTGCCCGGTTTTTGAATTATCTTTCCTTATAGAAAAATCTTGTCCGGGACATAACTCTAAAACTATCGGAGATATCAACATGAAACTTTGTAGGTGAATAGATCTCGATGGGTAGATGTGCAGTGCATAAGGACAATAACTTTTTTTGCCCTTTGTTAATTTTAACACTTTGAACTTTGTCCGGAACATAATTCTAAAACTATAAGAGATATTAAGATGAAAACATTGTAGGTAGATAGATCTCATTTGAGTAGAAAGTGCGCAGTGCAAAAGAACCATAACTCTTTTTAGCCTCATTTTTTTTAATTATCTCCCCTTTTAGAAATTTCTTGTCAGGACTTGTGAAAAACTATAAGAGATATAACACGAAAACTTTGGTAGGTAGATATATCTCAATGGGTAGGATGTGCAGTGCATAAGAATCATAACTCTGCCGTGCCTACATTTTGGAGTTATTGCCCTTTGTTTTATTTTTACTTTTTTTGAAGTTTGTCCGGGACATAACTCGGAACCATAAGAGATATCAACAAAGAAACTTTGTAGTTTGATAGATCACAATTGATAAGAAGTGCCTTTGCAAAGAAAAGTACCTCTGCCTTGCCTAATGATGGAATTATTGCCACCTTTGAACTTTTTCCAGGGAAATAACTCTGAAACTACAAGAGGGTGTACTTTCCTGTGTCCAAAACCTATTCGGGGAGCATCACCCGGCTCAAACCGGGCTCTTGTATTAAGTTGCATCCACCTATTGTGATCTAGTTTTGGACACATTATTTTTTATTTGGACCATATCCGTTTTTCATTAATAGCACGTATATGTAACATTGAAAAATTAAAACGAAGGATAAACGCCGTAATGAACCATCTGCCCAGAGGTTTTTTAATTCAAATTTTTTTCTATTTTCATATTTAAGATAGAGAATACTGCCTTTTAAAGCCAGTGCTAGGGGCGTGGACGTTACAATGTATTTTGTCCGCCCCCTACCATCATGAACATGCTCAATCAAACCGGCCCGCGCAACATGTTCAATTGTGTCGTTTTGAGCGCTCTTTAGCAATTCCGTTTTTCTCTATTTAATGTATGAAAATGTCAGATCGTGTGTAAAGTCATGTTTTCGAATTCCTTCTATCATTTTATGGGTTACATCATTTGAGCTTCCTGATACTATTACACTATTATCGTTGGTGCATACAAACAGAAAAACACACGAGAGATCGGCACGCCGCAGCCGGGACTCAAACCACGGGTCTTTAGATTGCAGGTCCAGTATGCTTACCACTACACCAGAGCGGCCGTTGCGTTTTCTTCATGCTAATTGTATTCATATATTTAAGTTATTCTAAACTTAATTGTGACGTCATCACTTTTTTATTACCATACCTGAGAGCTAATTATTGCTCCTTTTTTAGGCTGTTGACTGACTCCGTCACAGATTTGTCGTTTAATGAATATCTTATGGCAAACACATTTATTATTTCATAAGGACACTACCGCCCTTGAATGGATGTAAATGAAAGACATGAGCGGAAATTATGCACAGAACAGAAAAATCACACGACAAAATGGCACGGCGCAGTCGGGACCCGAACCGCGGGTCTCCGGATTGCCGGTCTTTAAAAGTTATATGTATATAGACAGCTACTTTTTAGCAAAAATTAGTTTGTTTTGAAATATATAAAATTTTCAAATATGAAAATAACTAAACTTACAATGTCATTATGATATAATACAATCTGGGAGGTATTATCGTTATTATTTTTCCAAGAAACCACCGATATTTTTTTTAATGTTGGCAACAAAAGGGCCCATATTAAAGATAAAAGTTCCTATGTTTTATGTTTTGGGTTTAATCACAAAATAAGACAAAATATATTAAAACGTTTTTTTATTAACCACCTAATTTTGTTTAGATACATGAAATTTTTTAAACTTCTTAAAAATACATGTGTACAAACAATTTTTTTTATTTTTTGCAAATATAAAAAAGAAACATTTGAAATCTGATTTTCTTTTTAAAAATTAATATGAATAATTTAAAAAAGTGTTTGTAATACTTTTCCCTTTTACTTTTTAGTTTATGTACTTAAAATGATGTTAAATCTATGGTTAAACGTTTCTATTTCTTCTGCTTAGGTGACATGTTTTTCGCTCATGTTGATGTATTAAGATAATATACTTATGTTTTATTCTTATATTAAGTGTTTGTGTTCTTTAAGCGGTTTTTCTAGTACTGTCCATAAACAAGTTCTTCTAGGAATTAAAATTTTGACGTTTTATGACGTTCTTTAGGGATTCCGTTTTTCTCTAATTTATTGTCACATCGGTATTATTTATGCATATCATAAAAATGTCACCTCTTACACACATACAATCAGAAATGATATATGTTCGATCCTAAAAGACCGTTCAGCACGACATTATTGTTGTGTAGACATGTTAAGCAGAATATATTATCGTTGCTTTTGATACATATTTTGTTTGTTTGCTATCATGTGAAATTGTATTAAGGCACTGAAATTAAATGAAATGTTAATAAATTATATAAAAAAACTCTTAATCATTTCTGGACCCTTTATGAAAGGTTTGATTGAGTTTGTTCATGGACGGTACTCGAGCTTCCACGCCCCCTAGCACCAG